CTGTGTATAAAAAACAAAATTTTAATGAGAGTGTGTGTCGGAGTGGGAAACAAGTGTGAGAGAGAAATGCATGAAAGCTTTAGAGAGAGGGTGTAACAGAAGAAAGAAGAACAGGAAAGGCTTAAAGATGAAGGTGGGCATGAAAATTTAGCAGAGAGAAATTTTATATATATTATATTCTTACTCTGTCCTGGACATTGAGTTCTACCTGGATTCTATCCTCTTGGGAATTATATATATATATATATATATATATATATATATATATATATATATTAGTGGTTAATATATATATATATATATATATATAACCACTAATATATATATATATATATATATTAACTACTAATATTATCTATCTATCTATCTACCTATATATATATATATATATATATATATATATATATATATATATATATATATATAAATATATATAGATAGATAGATAGATAGATAGATAATATTAGTGGTTATATATATATATATATATATATATATATATATATATATATGTATATATATTAACCTATATATATATATATATATATATATATATATATATATATATATATATATATATGACATTTCTTTCAGTATACATCTGTATTGTATTACTTCCTTAATTTTGCAATTATGTTTTTTTTCTTCTCGTCGCCGACGACACTTTTTGTTGTTTATCTCCTTCTCTTTTTTTTCCTTTTCTATTCTCCTATTTGCGTTTTGACTCGGCCTTTGACGTATATTCGAATATCTATATAGTTTCTGTCTTATATACCTGACTCTAATCCGTCCCATACCCGTGTCCATATGCGTTTCTGTACGAATTAGCCGATGATGTTTCTCCCAGAGGCGGACATTGCAAAGAGATAATCGCATCCGTACGTGAGCAAATATCAACTGTTATTGGTTAGTTATTTTCTTCGCCGTCTATTTGCGTGATCGTCAACTTTGCGTTGAAGATGGCATCCACTCCACAAATTGTACTCTTTCGTTTCCTTACAAATAAACTTTATTGGAATAAAACGATTTCTCGCTTTCTCTCTCTCTCTCACTCACACACACACAGACACACACACATTTTTCAGTGACCGTTTGCTCTCATTTAACTACCATAGAGAAACACTCCTGCCCGCTATCAGCATGGTTTATGCTAGCTAGATTCCTGGAGAGAAACATACTGCACGTTCTTGGCCTCACGTTTTCAACTGACTTGAACTTCATTGAATCAGTAGCTGCATCTACTGCAAGGCAAGCTGAGTTACTGTGCCGTGCCAGAAGGTTTTTCTCGTCAAATTCCATCTTGCACATTTACAAATCTGTCATTCGTCCATGCATTAAATACTGGTCTGGTGCCCCGCTGTTCATCTCGAGATTCTCGACAAAATCCAAAGAAGGATCGGAAATATAATCGGTCCTCACTTGGCAACTAGACTTCAGTCTATTTCTCACCGAAGGTGACTTGGCTTTGTTTTTTCTGTAAATATTTTTATGGCAACTGCTCTGACGTGCTTTTTTTCTCTGCTGCCCAGACTGCGTTATTTGAAACGCACTACTAGATTGGCATCTAGGTCCCACCCTTTTACTTTTGAATCTTTTAAATGTAACTGCCACTTCTACTCCAGCAGTTTCTTTTCCCGCATTTCCCACCTCCGGATTTTCATTCCGTTTACTTGCTTCCCTGATAAATACAATCTTTAAAATATTAAATGCAACGTTCATCGCCATCTCTCTTGAACCCCGTTCCGCTTTTATCCTTTCCTCGCTTCCCTCTATATCCAGTCTTTTCTCTCTCCTTCACTCTCACCCACTGTGTACTAGTAGCATTCCCGTCTTGCTTGCGGCGAAATGATTAAAAATATCTGCAGTTTAATAAAAAGGAATGACTTATGGCCGCACCACGTTGTAAAAATCACCGAAGTTAAGCAACGATGAGCCTGGTCAGAACCAGTAGTCTAATCAGTTTCTTGATCATCAAGGAAGTCGCCGTAGGTTGTTTTTGTTTGTTGTTTTTTTGTTATCCCAAATACTTTCGACCATATTTAAGGTCATTTTCAAAGATAAATTACAAAGACAATTTTAATGTAACTGCGATATAATCTGCATTCCATTGTGATGATGATTTTTAAAAACACCTCTCTTATAGTTTTTTTAACATTTTAAAATTTGTAGTTATGGAATTTTCTTTTACAAAACAAGCATTTCAGTACAAGGGGACTGACTGGGAATTGGTAGAAATGTCAAACAGCATTACCATGCAAATGTTATATGCCCGTTAATATGTTGTCGGAATATTCGTAATAAATTTTGTTGGGTGTTGGTTCGTTCATTTTGATATCGAAGGCCTCGAGATGTCGAAGATTTGTTTATACATGTTTCTATGAACATATACTGCCTAATGTTGGAATTGTCATTCAAACGGAGAGTTAAGCGTCGTGAAGGCGACTTTGCGAGTTTAAATATTATTGAATCCGTTAGAGATACAATCTCCCAGAGGGCATTTGAATTGAACTATATATATATATATATATATATATATATATATATATATATATATATGCGCACGAGGTTACGTCAAAATTGTAAGCAATTTCACTAGAACATAACGAATCGGAGTTTCATGCACAACGCAATATTCAGGTGCTGACTATAGACTGGCCGTTACATCATAATTTAAATTTTAAAAATTATATCCGGTTATCGCAATGTTTGCGTAGTGATATTTTATACTGCGATTCCAGTTTTTTTTAATTTTGAAATTATATTTGGCATTTATAGTAATCCTGATCTGTATATATATATATATATATATATATATATATATATATATATATATATATATATGTGTGTGTGTGTGTGTGTGTGTGTGTGTGTAATATATATTCTTTTTATTCTAGAGTGGTAAACATTGATTGTTTTTAGTATTAAAGGCAGATTACTTGTTCTTTTGTATTTAAAAACGATACAACCGTAATATAACTCAAACATATATCGTAATTTATATTAAAATATTATCTAGATCCACGTAGACGAGCAAATAATTATGTTTACGCCTACATGTAACCATATATTCATTTCTCTTGTTCTAGTGTTCAAGTGTCTAAGATAACCAATCTTTCAGCAAGACATAAGTTAAATCTATTTCCCTTCCTGTAATGAGATTTACTCTTGCTATAATATCCCTGTTAATAAAAGATGAATTACCATCTTTCTTTAACTGTCAGGAACATTTGGTGAGAGAAGTGCTGTTTTTGTATTTCATATTACGTAAAATCGCTCAATGAAAGTAGAAACGATATTTCCAAGGATTTCAAAAGGAATTCAAAATAAACGAAATATATATCCGCTTGGTATACAATATTATCGGTTATACATTGACCTTTCAAGGGAGAGATCCTATTTTTTAGAAAAATTAATAGACTCTTATTATGTTGGTATATGGATTTGTCTATGTTAATAGCGCAGTTATATCTGATCTTAACATTATTTTTGCTAAAAATCTTGTTTAGTGTTAGTGAATGGTTAAAATGCTTATGGTTAAATTTAGGAAATTCTTCCGAGATTAGTTTGAATATTACGATTAGATGGTGTATTAAACGATATAATTTTACGGTTACGATATTTCTGTTTATTTTTTTACCTTGTCTATTTTTTCGTAATTTCTCTAAATTTTCTTTACGTTTGCTTACTTTGTATAGCCTTTATGTATTTAATTTTAATATTATCAAGTATTTCCTTATTGTTGGATTTGAAAGATAATCAATCTTTCACTGATTTATGTAAATTATCTAAAATCTTATGATGTTGGTTTGATTCTTTACTCATGTATCTAAGGTTATCTAGATCTCTGTTATATGTTTTTAATAACCATTATTATTCAAAGCAAGGTCACACACACATATATATATATATATATATATATATATATATATATATATATATATATATATATTTGGGGACGCAAGTGGCCGTCTAAATTACACTAAAAATGAAAATAACACTCATATCTCATTTTAACAGATATATTTACTAAAATTGCATGAAAATATCTTGAAATAGTAATTAGTAAATTTATTCAATAAAATCGCCATTGGCTTCAACCAGGGCCTCTAGACGACTTCGGAATATCATGCAAATCTTCAAGGCTGTCTCCTGCTATAATTTGGTCAATGCTTCTACAATCCTTGCCTTCAGTTAATCTTTGGTGTTACAAGGAGTTTTGTTGGTCTTTCACTCAAATGCGTTCCACACGTAATAATCAACGAGCTTGAAGTCTGGGGCGTTAGCCGGTCGGATGTGTGGGGTGAAGTGGTCACAAAAATGACAGTCATGACTGGGTTTACCTGCTTTTACGGTATGTTGCAGATTCCTGCTGCTAGACATAGGCCTTCCAGCAGCCACCCTCTTTACTACCTTCTCAAGGTCCTTAATGTAGGGCACTGTGTTGAGTCTGAAGGCCCTGTGGAAAGATGAACGGAGGACTAGCGTCGCCATCACTATTGATAACGCCAAACATCTTCGTAATCACCAATTGACTCATCCAACTCTTTCCGAATCCCCTGCACTGTCCTCAGATAGACACACAAACATTCTGAAATGTTCATATTGGAGCTGCTGGCGCGAATGCCAAGCAGTACACCATGCCATTTTCAAATTTCTTGCGGCGTGAATTGGGTCATGGTGTTTTTTGGGGGGGGATTCAGACGGTGCCAGACTGACCCTACTATAGTGTGCAGTCGACAAAATCAAAAACAACACGCATGACAAACATAAATTAACTGATATTATCGATTTATTTAAAGGGTATTTTTAGCGAATACCCATATCTGAATAAACACTCCTTCTATTTATTAAACAGCATATTCATTTGTTTTCAATTTTAATATGCGAAAGGCAATAAAGTCACTAAGACGCAAGCAGTTAATGAGTATGACAAAGAAAGTATGACTATAAACAATAAACAAATTCTCAAAGACAGATAGATAGCTAGATAGAAAATATGACTATAAAGAATATGCCATAGATAGATAGATAGATAGATAGATAGATAGATAAATAGATAGATAGATAGATAATTCCAGAGTGAGATAGATAGATAGATAGATAGATAGATAGATAGATAGAAATATGACTATAAAGAAAATGCCATAGATAGATAGATAGATAGATAGATAGATAGATAGATAGATAATGACCAGACTGAGATAGATAGATAGATAGATAGATAGATAGATAGATAGAAATATGACTATAAAGAAAACGCCATAGATAGATAGATAGATAGATAGATAGATAATGACCAGACTGAGATAGATAGATAGATAGATAGATAATGATAGATAGGAGATAGATAGATAAGATAGATGAGATAGATAGATAGATAGATAGATAGATAGATAGATAGATAGATAGATAGAAAAAAAAAACAAAAATTGATAGCTATGAAATGTGTGAGAAAGAAGGAAAGAAAAAAAGAAAGAAAGACCGAAAAATGAATGAAAGGAAAGAAAAAAAAGATGGCTATGAACCGACTGAAAAAGCCAGGTAGTTAGATATTGTTGGGAATGTTATAAGTGGTGACAAAGGACAGAATATTGAAGCCATAATATAAAGTGGTGGTTGTGTTTGGGGGTGATGGCATCATTTCGCTGTTCCCCAAGATATAGCCGCTTGTATCGATTGTCTCCTTTTTTATAAGATGAGCACAAAACCAATTACTTGTTGGAATCGAATACAATGATGGTATCAGATTTAAACGAAATCAGACATCGAATAAATGAGTTGTCCGATTACATTAAGGAACTCTGGCGCCTTTCTCGCCCATCCTTGTCCAATGTCGATTGCTGTTTGACTCGGTGTTGCCGTTTTGGGAGCAAGAATACTCTCCTCTAGCAGAAGCAAAGGGATGTGAAGTGAAGTGAAGAGACGTGGCTTCGACTTGTTTCCGTTATTACGCTCTTTATTGGCAGTCCGTGCGCCATTTTGGACTTCGCTATAATAATATCAAGATTACGGCTCGTTTTTCGCGGGAACTAGAATCGGAAGAAAGGGGTGTTAATCGTGTGCTATCGAGCGGGGAAAACGGCAAACGTTATGAATTGGCGGATGGGGGGGGGTACTAGTCCGAAGAATGGAAAGCGCGAAAAAGTTGGTGAAATTGGCAAGGGGGGAGCAAACTGCAGGAGAGTCAAAAGAAAAAGACAAAGTGGCGGGAAAAGTATCAAAAAGTTACAATGAAAGTTGCAAGAAATAAATGCAAAAATGAATAAAGAATATCGAGATGGAATATTTTGTTTTAATACTTTGTCAGTCATTACATTTAGACCGTTAAACTCTTCGGCTTTCCTGCTATTTCCTCGAAGTTCTGAAATGAATATTTCAACGGAAATGATATGGGGGGGGAGGAAAAGAAGAAAAAAAGGGGAAAAGAAAAAAAATCCTTTTTTCTTTTTTTTATTATTTTCCTTTCCCCATATCATTTCCAGTGAGTTGACCGATTAAACTCGTCAATGTCTGATCCTCATGACCTCCTTCCTCAATATTAAGTATAATAATAAAAAAGAAATATAAAAATAAATTTTAAAACTTTCACCCTCTCTAAACTCGACCATGTCTCTCACGCCATCCTCGCTACCTTCTATGTCAACTTATATAACCTTAATACTGCCCGTCAAAAGTGTAAATTTTAATTTCATTTTCGTTTCACCTTTGAGAGTGACGTCTGAAGATCAAGCTTAAAAATAAAAGTCTCTGGTGAAATAAATTATTACAATGGAGCCTTAAAGTGGTCTATTTTTTTTAAACATATATATATATATATATATATATATATATATATATATATATATATATATATATTTATACGTTGTTATTTTATAGATACAATGTCTTTAATAAATAAATTGTCGGACCTTGTCTATTTCTTAATATATATATATATATATATATATATATATATATATATATATATATATATATATATATATATACATTTCATTAAATATGACAGACAAAGTAAAAAAAAAAACAACATTTAATAATATCAACTATGAATATGAACACAATGCCCTTGACCGTGTTTTGAAAAATGAAAACATTATTGTTGTAGCCTTGTTAGGGCCAGAAATAAACACACAAAGAGAGGAATTGAGTTAAGCAAAGATATTAACAGAAATAGTAATACAAACATATAGAAACGAGAGAGTTACAGCAAGAATGTTCGGTCCGACAGTCAGAGCTGACTGCTGAAAACTTCCCTCTCCAAAAGACAGTACCTTCTCCTATTTCTAACTGGGAGAGTCCATGCGTGCACGTGTAAATTACCATAACAATTATATAAATACATACATGCAACAAACTATTTCGTATTTAACAGTTAAAATATTTCATCCCTGAAAATGGGTAAATGTATAACCGAAAGCGCTTGGAAAAAAGAACATTCTGACAGTTTTTATATAATTTATCATCTGAAAAAATATTAGATCACATGAGAAATTTAATAAAAATCTAAATCAAAGCACCTTGTCTGTCGCATTCAATGAAATGTGCATGAAAGAAGGATTGTTGCCTAAATACACACACACACACACACACACACACACACACACACACACACACACACATATATATATATATATATATATATATATATATATATATATATAATTAAAACGAAAGTTTCAGACTTTAGAATATTTCTCCTCGTGCTTTAATTTCGTCAAAAGGCTAATCTTTCTTTCTTACTAGAAAAGTCTGTGAACGGTGCTTGTGTGTTTGCCAGAAGTCATATATAGAGTGTGGGTGAAAGAAAGAAAGATATGAATTTATTGTCGTGTATGGAGCCGGAGTAGAGAAGGAAGTAGAAAAAAACGCTCTCTCTTTCCACCCACCTCCCTCCCTTTCCACCATTCGGTGATTGCGTGCGTGCTTATTTATATTTCAGCTTTCTTCAAACAAACAATATTTTAAATATTCTTATTTCAACTTTTTTTAAAGAGATATTTTTTAATGTTGAAAGCAACTTCAATGTTTTTTTATAATATTCAGTGATTCAGTGATATATATATATATATATATATATATATATATATATATATATATATATATATATAAGTTGCAAATTAAAAATAAAAATTTTTTGAAAGTATTTATTTATATATGTATTTGATATTTCAGATTGACCTCAATCTTTCTTCAGAAATAACTGTTTGTTTACAAGTAGCGTCCGTCGCGAGACGCGGACGTCACGTGATATGGAACGCCACTGTGTTCGAATATTCCTAACATAAATCTAACTGTAATAATATTTTAGATGTAGTTTTAAAAAAAATAACTATATCTAAAAAAATGTTTAAATATTGAAATATTTATAAAGATTTAAAATACCCAAGTCTTTATTTAACCCCAGTTTGTATGTATTTAATTTTAAAATCCAGTATTTTTCTTTTTTTCTGCGTGTGTATGTGGAACTGAAATCAGAATCTATCAATAAACATTTACAGTTTTCTAATGAGTGGCCTGATTGATTAAAGTGTTCAGCTATGGGGGAATAAGGATTTTTTTGACGTATGGTTTGTTTATGATTGTTGAAGCGAAATCTAAAATTATTTCCAGATTCACCAATATATCCACTATTAGGACATAAGGTGCAGAATAAATAGTACATTATGTTATGGCTATCACAGGTGAGGTGAGGTGAGGTGGGTGTATCTTGATATTGGTGTCACCTCTACCAAATATCTAAACAATACAAACCAATCAGGAAATTACAAATGTAACAAACCTCGTTGCTTAGCTTGCCAAACACTTAATAATAGGTAATGTATTTTCTGTACCCAACACCAAAAGTGATAAAAAAAAGAAGATAGAAAACTATGAACAAATAGATAGATAAATAGATATCTCGATAGATTGAAAAGACAAAAATAGATAGCTCGATAGATAGATAGATAGAAAAAAAAAAATAGATAGAAAAGGTAAAATAGTTCGATAGATAGAGAGAAAAGACAAAAATGGACAGTTCGATAGATAGATAGATATCTCGATAGATAGAAAAAACAAACATAGATAGATAGATATCCCGATAGATAGAAAAGACAAAAATGGATACCTCGATAGATAGAAAAGATAAAAATAGCTCAATAGATAGATAGAAAAGACAAAATAGATAGATAGATAGATAGATAGATAGATAGATAGATAGATAGATAGAAAAGACAAAAATAGATAGATAGATAGATAGATAGATAGATAGATAGATAGATAGATAGATAGAAAAAACAAAGATGGATAGCTCCGCAGATAGAAAAGACAAAAATCGAAAGCTTTTAAGCGTTTAAGAAAGAATATGTCATGTGTATATCGCGCCAGTTAACCCGAGTATTATATTTACTGTGCGCTATATATATATATACTAGCAGCATGGCCCGGCTTTGCCCGTGCTTGATTCAAAAATCGTATGACTCATACAGCAATCGCTATCACTTGACTTAAAATATTTTTGCCCTTCCTTGCCTTTAAAGGAGTGCCCTTTGCCGTGCTGATGTTGCTACATGCCTTACTTCTTGCCTGTTTCACACTGCGAATTTTTTCTAAGCTCTATACTAAACATTAAATCTGTTACGAAAAAAGAACTAAAGAAAATGAACACAAAACGATCAGCTTTAAAAAAGGACTCGTAACTGGAAAAACCGAATAAAAAAGAATGTTAACAACAAATACTTTTTTCACACACAACCCAGTTCTTCGGAATCAGAATCAGAATTGAGTTTAAGCAAGCGAATGAGCCAATTAGAGTAAAGGGCCATGCAGATTTAAATTTTTGCCACTCATGACGAATGCAGATATCGATATTTTGCATACCAGTTAACATTCGTGACAGTCAGCTGTTGACTCTCACGCTGGCCAATAGAATATTCCTGCCAATTCGTGGCAGCCAGCTATTAGCTCTCACTCTGGTCCCTACAAAATGGCCGCAAACTACATGAAAACTGCCGTAGAAGCATGAAAAAAATCGATTATTTCCACTATCGATGGAAGTTGGGAAATGCAAAGTCGGTGTTGGCCTTCCCGCTAACTTGGAGCGTGTGCATATAAATTTTGGTGCAAATCCGTCAAAATATGCGGCCGTGCATTCGTTACGCGCGCGCGCGCACACACACACACACACACACACACACACATCTTGCCTTTTATATATATATATATATATATATATGTATATATATATATGTGTGTGTGTGTGTGTGTGTGTGTGTACAATTCTAAATTGTTCTCATATAATATTTTTAATTTCGAGTATGGATTTTGTTTTTTTTTGTTTTTTTTTAATTTTATTGACTGCAGACTGTATGTTCAGTCTGTAAGAAAAAATCCACCCTGACGAAATTCACTCCGCCAGAAATTTGGAAACAGCATGCTGTACTGCTTGGTATTCGCGTCGGTAGCTCCAACGTGACCATTTCAAAGTCCTTGGGTGTCAATCTTAAGGCAGTGCAGAGGATTTGGAAAGAGTTGGATGAGTCTAATGGTGATTAGGAAAGTGTTTGGTGTTATCACTTCATCTTCCCACCACGAAGTGCGAAATCAAATGCGTTGAAGAGGTAATACTGCCCTGTGTTAAGAGGGTGACTGTTGGAAGACCCTATGTCTGGCAACAAGATTCTACACTTTGTCACACAAGCAAGGGTACCCAGTCATAGCTAGCAGACAAATTCTGCGATTACATCATCCCTTACATGTGACCACCTCATTGACCAGACTACAACCTCCTTGATTATTATGTGTGAGGTGCATTTGAGCGAGAGACCAACTAAGCTCCTTGTAACACCAAAGATAAACTGAAGGCAAGGATTATGGCAGGATTCACCAACTTAAACAAGGAGAGCCTCCAGAAGATATGCAGGAGTTCCCGAAGTCGTCCAGAGGCTGTGATTGAAGACAATGGCGATTTCATTAGATAAATACATATGGTAAATATATGTTAGAATGAGATGTCAGCGCTATTTTCATTTTGGCGGCATTTAGACGACAATTTATCCATCATACCCTGTATATCTGTTAAAGTGAGACGTCAGCGTTATTTTCATTTTGGCGTCATTTAGACGAAAATTTATCCATCGCACACTGTATATCTGTTAAAATGAGATGTCAGCGTTATTTTCATTTTGGTGTCATTTAGACGATAATTTATCCGTCGCACCCTGTATATCGTTTAAAGTGAGATGTCAGCGTTATTTTCATTTTGGTAGGATTTCGACGATAATTTATCCATCGCATCCTGTATATATGAACGATAAATATGTTTTTATCAAGTCAAATATGTTTTCATCATTATATTTTGGATATATACTTGTCCTGATATGATAATAGTAATATTAGCCATTTACTTGAGGCGACCTTCAGAATTCATTAGCGAGACAGCGAGGCTAATACCTGTTTAAATTTAGAAAGTATTTCTGTTTTCTCAAGTTTGCTGTTGATAGTCCTATTGCTGCTGTTGAAAGTGATGTTGTTTGTATTTTCTGTTTGGGATTCTGTAGCGTCAGTCCACGAGGATCGAAGTAGTATGGCCTTTGCTAAAATGTTGGCTTCATTGACGGTTGGCAAAGGTAGAACTTATTCGAATTCTTAGAATCACAGAGAGAGATTTGCCAAAATTATCGCCCCCAACCCAAATAAAACTGTTTGTCAAAAGTACGTTTTATTTTCTTGACAGCACTGTTAATGTTTATTCACTCAGCAACCTCAATTTTGTTTTTACAATAATGTTCACCCTGTACAAGGCCACTCGAAATAAAGGGTTATAGAATATTGAGATTCACTTTCTGGGGATATGTAGGGAAGATAACGATTGACACTAGACGTGAACAGGTTAATATTGCAGAGATTGGGGAAACAGCCTCTTGGTAGTCGATTCCACGATAAATAAGTCCGTAGAAAGAAGATTTTCGTGTGGAACTTACACCTCACCAGACGAAGGGAATGGCGATGGTTCGCTACAATATGCGTGTCATGGCGAGTCTTAGCCGTGAACGTAAGGTGGAGCTAAGGAGGTAACGAGCGGCGTGGAAAATGGTTGACCCTGTACAAGACCCGTGGACCACTCGAGGTAAAATGTTACAGAGTAAGAGGAACAAGTTATACGGATGAAGAAGAATATAACGGTTAGCCCTCAACAGGTTAAGACGGTAGTGATCGTAGAAACAGCATTTTAGGAGTCGGTTCTACAGTACAGTGGGAAGATGATTCAGTCGAACTTACATCTCACCAGGGGAATAAAAATGGAATTAGGGTGATTCGCTACAATGCGTGTGGCATGGCCGGTCATAGCCGTGAAGATTAGTACAAAGGAATGTACATTATTTACATTATTCGGACTATTGTCCTCATCTTTGTCGCCATATTTATCACAACGTTTCGGCCGTTGTATGCTCCGGCCTTCTTCAGGTAGTTGGAATTTCGAACTGAACCCTTTATTTTGCTTACTGGGGTAGACTGTTCTAGTTCCACGTGCCATGTTTTGATGGATGTCAGTTATCAGTTATCTCCTGCTAATTTCCCTCAGATATATATATATATAGATAGATAGATAGATAGATAGATAGATATGTTATGATATATGATATGCGATGACTGAGATAGATAGATATATAGATGGATATGATACCAAAAGAATTATAAAATATGCCATTAAAAAACTGATACACACACACACATAGATAGATAGATAGATAGATAGTTTTTTTATCAATTCACACCAAATAAGACGATCCGCAAATACGCAAATGGCTACTGGAAGTGAAAGCGAATGAAATAACTATAGTAGGCACCGGAAACCCATATCTAAAAAGATAATAAGGGATACACCTATACACCTGTTCAAGAAATGGGGAAGAGTGTGAACCGGACGATAAGCGAACGTATCTACTATCAATTGCTAGATAGCCATGAATCGACTAAGTTTTTTTCATCACGTTGAATTTACAGATTTTAGAAGTACCTGATCAGACTGACTGGAAGACTGGACGTGCTATTGAAAATCTTTCTATTCTCGAACAAGGCGCGGAATCACGAGAGACAAATGTTCTTCCCTCTCTTCTTCCAACGAGCGGAGAATAATTGTATAAAACGTATTCCTAGTTCTTATCAATGCGCGAACGTAGAAACTGCAATTAGTTTTGCATATAGAGTTGATCTTGGATCGACCTCGTTTATAGCGGCAAGCTAACTAGGTAAAGACCTCGAAAAGGCGCAGGACTAAACTACACGTTTCACAGCGCTGTCGATTCGATGCAAGAAGCGGTAAATGGCCGCCGGGGTAATGATCAAGCCACATACACCTTATTCTGCTTGCCGAATCAGCCATATTGACTGGCTGTGTTGTCGAATGAATATCAGTATTCAACGGCGCTAACTTCCCTGCAGCCCTTCTTGCACAACATCTGTTGTCGGAATGAAGAGGGAAAAAATAGAGAAAAAGAAGAGTTGCTTCAAAAAAGAGAAACGTGCAAGAAAGAAAGGAAAATGAAGGATGGAAAGAAATCAGTTAGATACAAGTAAAAATAATGGAGACGCGAGTTTATTGTCAGTTCTTCCAGTTCATATCAATAGAAATGTGGATGCGGGCATTTTAAAAACACACACACACACACACATACACACACATATACATATATATATATATATATATATATATATATATATATATATATATATATATATATATATATATATATATAAATTTATATATATATATATATATATATATATATAAATATAAAGTGAATATATAGAGGCGACAGTCTGTTTCATGTTAGATGCAATCGTCGTGGCTTGACTGATTTAGCATGAAACATACTGTCGCCTCTAAGTGTTGACTTCTATGTTCACTTTTATATTTACACACGCTCTGTCTCTGATATTGACCACTTTATCCCATAAATTTACCACATCTTAAGACTATATTTCTTCATATATATATATATATATATATATATATATATATATATATATATATATATATATATATATTGATTTAAAATATGGTTATTTTCGCTACACAGTTCCAACCATGTTTCAAAAATAGCTAAAACCCCTAATTTTTTTTTTGCAAATAAATTAAAAAGCATTAGTTCCATTTCATCTTCAAGCGAATTTTGGAGTAACTTTTTAACTGTGTAGCGAAAATAACCATATTTTAAATCAATTAATTTATATATTAATGCTCTGTAAATTTACATTGAGCACTATTTTGTAAAAATAAAATATCTATAAGAACACCGGATTTTATATCTTACTGTTCTTTCTTTTTATTTATATACATATATGTATATATATATATATGTTGTGTCGGAAACCTACCACCCCTCTTGAAGATGAACTTGTCTGCGTCTATGAACAAAGACTTTAAATAGTGGCATGTCAGTTGACATGGGGGGAGACAGATAGACAGAAGTTCTTAGCTGAGATAGTTATTGACTACTCAGGCGATTTCTGTAATTTTTTACCAACATATTAAAACCCTTTTTTATTGTTACATGTTATTTGGCGTTTCTTTCTACTAACCCCAAATCAACATCATAACAATATATATATATATATATATATATATATATATATATATATATATATATATATATCCCATAAAAGTAAAGATACACTGGAGTTTTTAAGAAAATTTACTTATTTTTATCTTAGCGGTTTCCAGGTTTTAGGATTTCTCAAATATTAAATTGAGATGGAGCGGAGTGTGATTATGCCATAATATTGCAAAAAATTGAGTCTCTTCATGCTTAACTTTGTAAATCAAACTGTGAAACCGATAAAGTACTCTAAATAAATATAAAGATTCTATTATATATATATATATATATATATATATATATATATTATGAAATGGACAAAGTCCGACCATTATTTTAAGACATTTTTTTATGTTTATACGTTCTTTTTATAGATGCAAATATTTAAGTAAATGTTCTGTTTATAATAAACAGAATTAACGACATTTAACGCCTGGATACCTGAGAAATTTTCGTAGAAAATATGCGTCCCCCGACAGGAATCGAACCTGTATCCTATACGGAACCTTCATATGACCTGACGTGCTTTACCGATTGAGCCACAGAGGAGCGTTTCGGTTAGTTTAAAAACAGTAAAATCGACCTTGCTAACCGAAACGCTCCTCTATGGCTTAAAAATTTCTTTTTGACATACTCAATCCATAATGATTCTAGGAAGAAATATATATGATTATGAATAATTCAATTATGATTTTATTTTCATTTTAATCAATTCATTTAAAACAAGACAATAATGCCACTAAGATTCAAGAGGCTAATATGAACGAAAGAAAGTGAAGAAGACTTTAGAAGGAAACAGAAACCCAATCTATTGTGGTAAACCCTCCTACAGTAGAATAAACTCTTCCTCCTCTCATAAATACAAACGGATAGGTGGAGTGGAGTCGTGGACGCAGTACTAATCTACTTATTACTAACACTAATTTTTGTATATATCTTCAATATACTTTTTCAATCTACCTTCGTCTTCCGTGTCTTTCTTCCTGGCCCCTAAACAAGACACAATACAATTCTAAACCGGAAACAAGGGATAAACATCTACTCCTGTTCTAAAAACTGGGGAGAAATGTGAACTGGATGATAGGCAAACCTATTAGCACAGACGTTAGGAGTATAGAGGTGAAGTAGACTTTATAATTACAGAGAGAACTGTACATAGCTGGCCCCTTGTATTCAAGGATACCCGTCTACTAGGGTGGCTAGCCAATCCCTATTGCTGTACTTGACTTGTTTAATGTCGTATAAGAGCAAGACATGTATCGATTGATCAAGCGATGGCAATAATCGAGTACGATTTTGAAGCCATCATAAACATGTACCCGTGTATGTTTGTGTCAGTTACGAAAGTCCTCATAGACAAAACTAGTCTACTGCGCAGCTAATCTTGTAATTTCAAAATGAATAATTGTCAGAAAAATAGTGCCATTTCTTTTCACACAAGATAATAATGCCAAATGATCAGACCTCAGAACAGAAGCAGCAAACGTCTAAGTTCCTTCAGAGGTTTTCCTGGTGTGATCTTTCGTTAATGGCAACAAAAAGAGTCACGTCGGTGTGTCTCTACGCTCGACAGATCGATAGTGCAATCCCGCATTCAAATGACACCAAATGCGTTGAGGCGCACCTTGCAGACACATTGCTTTTGACACTAACAGCCCGGATCAAGAAAATGTTTCACAAGCCGTGGTGATGTTTCCACTCACGTCATGACTTCTGCTACGAAAAAGCACCTTGTCGAGCTTTAAATCACTATAAAGCTGGTTTGATCTTTCCTGAGACGGTCTTTTTGGTCAGGAACCAGATTCCAAGGACTTTCCCTGCGTTTTCGCTATCATTTTTGTTTTGATTTGATATTTTTTTTTTGTTTCTGTTTTTTGTATTTCTTCACGTTCTCTCTGTCTCCTTCTCTTCTCGACTTTAGCAAGATAGTTGACAATATATTTGAAAATATTCACATGATTTCCAGCATTTTTTTTCCTTCTTTTATTTTTTTTTCTTCTTTGATTCGTATACCTTCAAGATATCGTTGGTCATAGGTCTCCCCAATGTCATGTCCTTTGTAACTTTACTCCCTGCTATGGAATGAAAAAAATCTGAGTTATCTAGGCTTTCACACACACACACATATATATATATATATATATATATATATATATATATATATATATATATATATATATATATATATAAAATAATATTGTATACATATGACCAAAAGGAAAAAAGAAAAGAACACGGGAACTTTGAACTTTGAAATCTAGAACACTGCATAAGCAATAAAAAAACAACAGTTGAAATGTTTTGGATTTACAAAAAAACACATATGCATACTCATATATATATATATATATATATATATATATATATATATATATATATATATATATATATATATATGTATATATAACTTAAAATATAGGTGATATTTTATTTCATTGAAGCCGATAAAAATGGTTTCAAATCTTCCAACCTATATACCAAATAAAGATGGAAAAATTTACGCCAGGTTTAAAAATCAAGAATAGTGATTTCATATAGAGAGTAGAGGAAAGAAAGATATTAAGTTATCAACGTGTACAAAATGGGTGTGTCGTCTCAGTTGTATTAACACCCGTGATAAATTAAACTGACATCCGGATTGCGGACAAAAGTCGTTAGCAATAGAGAATACATTTGAAAAATGATTTTACGTGTAAATTTGAAGATTTCCTGTATCCTTCCTCGGTTAAGATTTTGATACAAATGTGTTCAACTTAAAAAAAAAACTGTTATAATTTATATTAAATGTAGCCGTTGGCTAAAAATATTTGAAAAATATTCAAAAATATTCAGAACCTAGATCTCGGACATTCAGGCCGGTAAATGTTGTTTAATACTGTTTATTATAAACAGAGCATTTACTTAAATATTTGTATCTATAAAAAGAATGTACAAAAATGTCTTAAAATAATTGTCGGACTTTAAGCATTTTATAATGTGTGACGTCATTTGTTTACATTGGATACGCCATGAGCAGATACGAATGTACGTGAGAGATTCATAGAAGATTGAAGTTTAAATTCAGTAAATTCGACCTTGCTAACCGAACGCTCCTTCGTAGCCAAATCGGTAAAGGCACGTCAATCTAATTATAAACAGAGTATTTACTTAAATATTTGTATCTATAAAAAGAATGTTAAACATAAAATGTCTAAAAATAATTGTCAGACTTTGTTTATTTCATAATGTGTGACTTATATATATATATATATATATATATATACAAGTTTCTTTAAATACCAAATTAAATTTTGTTTAATATTTCTTAGTTAAATGTATCTATTTTAAGTCTGACCCTGTTTGTATATGAGTTTGGAACACTGGGTTTCACGCCTGAGTATATATATATATATATATATATATATATATATATATATATATATATATATATGAGATTTGCCTAACAATTTCTATAATGATTTTTAAAAAAATGTCCAAATCGTGTAACTCTATAATCGTTCATTATATATATGCACCCGTATGATTTTGTATCGTTTATGAAAGCACCTTATCGATCCCAAATAATGTTTCATTGATGTTGAATTTGGTTTTCAGATAAGACATTTAGCCATATTGACGCCATTTGTCGTAAGAATCAATGAAATCACTTTGAGTTATTAAGGTTGAAAGATAAAAGTTTAAAACACTTCTGTGTGAGTCCCACTGAAGCTCCAAATGAGCAATGGTGAGAGGAAAAATATCATTCAGGCTTTCAATAATGGTGCCAATATTCATACTCTGGCTTCCAATTTTAAAGTAAATTCAAGAACCATCAAGACTACGGCGAATAAGTTTTAAAAAGAGGGAACTCTAGAGAGAAAAACAGGAGTTGATAACAAGAAGAAGGATTATCATTTCAACTTAAATTTTATACATTCATATTGTTCAAAGTAGAGACCAATAATTTTATAAAAACTATCTAACTTAATCCATAAAATGTTTGGTATATATATGAGATATATATATATTATGTGTGTGTGATATATATATATATATATATATATATATATATATATATATATATATATATATATATATATATATACATATATATATATATTTATAATTTTAAAACATATATATATGTATATATATATAAATCTTTATAAATATTTCAATAGCTAAAGGGCAATTTCTTAAAATATATATGAAAAAATATTTTTAAAATATTTATGACAGTTAGATTTAAGTTATCGAATATCTGAACATATTTGACGTTCCATATCACGTGACGCCCGTGTCTCTCGAATATAACAGCAAATTTGTCCAAATACTTGCCAACAAACAGTAATTTTAATTTATTTGTAACAACTAAAAGTTATTTCTGATGAAAAAATTGAGGACAATTTGAAATATCAAATATATATATAAATAAATAAATACTTTCATAAAACCATCAAGAAAAACATTATAATTTTAATTTGAAACTTTTCTATATATACATATTAAGAAAGTATACGTGGCTTCTCATTATGCTGGTGTATATATATATATATATATATATATATATATATATACATATACATATAAGATTTGTCTAACATTTTTTTTCTTTAATAATTTTAAAAATTATGAATTAGTTATATTAAAAGTATACATAGAAAATTCCTTGAAAACAAATGTAGCAAGATTCGAAAGTGGCAATAATATATAAAATAAAATAAATATCAATTTTTGGTAAATTTACTGATGACATAAAACAGATGAATCAAAAAATTTACTATAGAGAAATTATCGATAGTATTTAATTGAACATATTTGAATGATTTCGTGCTATATTTGAAAATACTATACTATATATATATATATATATATATATATATATATATATATATATATATATATATATTAGGTGTAACAGCAAATTTGTCCAAATCGTGTAACAGCATGGAATAATTGCCCTTCCCACAAAATGTTTAATATCTAAAATCCACTAAACTGATTGAGTTTTTTTTGGAATAATATTTTTTAACATAAATTTTCAGATGTGACGGTTAGCCATTTGTCACCATTTGTCGTAAGAATCACTAAAAGCTCTTTGCAAAATTCAGCTAGAAAAAATTCAGCTAGAAAAAATTCAGCTAGAAAGAGAAGAGATATAAATCGTTTTCTTTAAATCTACTGACTTCCTAACTCAGCAATGCTGAGATGAAAAAATGATCATTCAGGTCATCAGTAATGGTACCAACATTCGTACATTGGCTTTCGTCTTCAAAGTCCATTGCAGAACCATCAAGAAAAGGGTGAATAAGTTTTAAAAAGAGTGTACAGTAGAGAGGATAACTGGATCAGAACAAGAAGAGGGATCATCATTTCAACTTACAGTTACATATATACTTATTGTTCAAAGTATAAAACAGTAGTATTATGAAAACCTTGGAGTATTCCAGTAAGATATTTTTAATCATATCTGAGATACAAAGTCTCAAGGATTAATCTAATAAGTGGACAATTTCGGTGTTAAACGACATGGTGTATATATATATATATATATATATATATATATATATATATATAAGTACTGAAATGGACAAAGTCCGACAATTATTCTAAGACATTTTTTAAGAATGTATAAAAATATATATATATATATATACATATATATATATATATATATATATAAAAAAGAAGAGAAAAGAGGTGCCTCATAAACGATTTTGGTTGTAATGTGTTTTTTAGAAAAAATATTATCCATATTATTTTTTTATTTTTTCCATAATTTTACTACATTTGTTTCTGGTGTCGTGACCGTCTTCAGGTAAAACCGGATTTTTTCCACATATTATTAAAAATGATTAAAATTTTTCCTTATGTTTTTCAATGAAAAAATATTCTCGATATGAGACATTCTCTGTTTTTAGTGTTAGTAATCCGAATATCTTTTTTGAATTGGCATTAAAATTGAGTAAAAGTTCTGCACGAAAGGTCATAAAACAATTAAGGTTGGTCAAGAGAAATGATGAATTACTTATCAGCATTTTATAAATTTTATCTTTTTAATATTTTAAATGACCCCTGTGCGTTCTTAAATCTGTTTCCATTTTCGTGTGCTTCTGTCAGCATGCGTGTATATATGCGTGCGTATATTTCCTTCGATACATATAGTGTCTTACTACGAGGAATTAGTAAACTCATTTGTACACATAAAATTACACAACCTCTTTCTTTATATATATATATATATATTATAATTATTTATAAAAAAAAATATGATTCCATCGTAAACCATTTTGTCATAGTCATATAAAAAAAAAAAAAAAAAAAAAAAAAGTTCTCATGTTTCAAAACTTAAGCCGAAAACTTCAATATAATTACTTGAATAAAAAAGAATATAGTAAAAAGTAAAAACTCTGTTCAAATCTAGTTAAAGGGAATTTTTGGGGAATCCAAAAAATTTCGTTAAAAGATGATGAAAATTTTCGGCTTTTTTTTTTTTTTTTTGAAACATGACATCCATTCAACCGACGTCAGATGGAATAATATTTTTAAATAAATAATTATATTTATGACACCCTCTACTTTTGTATTGAGCTGGAAACTATTTTTTAAAATAATAAAAAGATACTAAAGAACATTTTTAATTTATTTGCAAAAAATAAAATTATTTACCTGAAACAGTTCCTTCCTATTTTTAAATATATTTTTAAATCACACACACACATATATATATATATATATATATATATATATATATATATATATATATATATACTTATGTTATATATATATTTTTATTTATGTATATATATATATATATATATATATATATATACTAAAGAAATGAATTTTTATTAATTAATCCGAAATTTTTAGCTCGTTAAACATTGTTTTTAGTAGGTTCCCCGTTTATTTATGAAACCGTATATTTATTTATTTTCTCCTACCGGCTTAGATATTCGAAAAATCTTATTAAAGAAAATCATGTGCTCTCCGGTAGGATTCGAACCTGCGTCCTCTATTTTCCTACTATTTTTGAATGTTTGGCATTGGACTATCGCCGTGGTTTTTCTTTGGCCTACTATATGCCCTCCCCCCATCCTTTAGGCGCTGATTGCTTTCAACCATCGTTGGTTACGCTGCGGCTCAGTAGAACGCCATCAAACAAGACGCCGCCAAAAACTGCAGCCCGAATATCAAGCGGATTGGATTTGTCGGTGGGGATTATTGGCACTTTGGCGAGTCAGGTGATAATCCGTTGCGTCTTATTATCGTTTTGCTTCGACGTTGCTTGCGTATGATTCCCCCCCCTCAACAGGTTTTAGCGAGTAGAATTATAGACTCTCCTTGGGTAATCCGCAGATTGGTCGAAAGAAGCTTGAAGAAGGGTCAAGTGTGTCGTGTCTCTCAGAACCCAGACACGAACACACCCATGCAGTCGCAAACACACACACATGCATATTCCATACATATATATGGTTGTGTGTGCGCTTGAAAGGGACAGGGATAAAGTGTGAAAGAGTGATAACACATATGCCGATTATTTTACGGATAGGCGTAAATGTTTATATATACTAACATACTACTACTACTACAACAATTACTACTACTACTACTACTACTAATAATAATAATAATAATAATAATAATAATAGAGATCGTCATCAATGTCTACAAAAAATATGCTTTCTTATTGACTTGACAGTTTCTGCAGATGTACTTTTGATGATCGAAAAAAAACCTATCAAATACAAGAATCTTGAATAATAATAAAGGTTTTGAACAATAATAAAGATCTTCGAAAAAAATCTATCAAAATACAAGGATCTTCAAGTGTAAATCTAAGATATGTGGTAAATGAGGACTTCAATAATTCCAGTTGGGGCCCTCAGATTGATTGAAAAAATTCATTGAAGGTATTCCTGGTAACCCATGCCTTAAAGAAATATATGAAATTGTTCTCACATGTAAAGCTCGCACATTACGAAGAGCTTTATCTATGTAAAATGTGTGAGATCTCATATATATATATATATATATATATATATATATATATATATATATATATATATATAAAAAAAATCATTGGTAATTCTGACCTTATGGCTTTGGTTGGGACACGGAAAGAAATATGTATACAAGAGAAATGAAAAAAAATAATAATAATAATAATAATAATAATAATAATAATAATAATAATAATAATAATATGAGTACACTAATCATTCCAGTTGTAGTTGGAGCCCTCAGATTCGCTTCATGAAGTCGACATGTTGTTAAACCAAAGGAACTACGAGACTGAGCTGAAAACTTCAAAGGCTGACTATGAAGGAGTGATGCTAGAGCTGTGAAACCATGCATGCATTCATTTCAACTTTTGTTATTAATAACTGCATTGTTTCTTTCCAGGTACGAGGGTGGGCTGAAAAGTTCATAGGCTGAGTATGAAGGATTGATACTAGAGCCTTGAAACCTTGCATGCATTAATTTCAAATCTTGTTATTAATAACTGCATTGTTTCATTCCAGATAAAGTGACAACTGGTTGTACAAAGAAGGCTGTTCATCACCCTTCTTTGAACAACCTCTGTAATATCAGTCTTCCTTCATGGCAGTGAATGCTGGACAATCTCCTCATAAATGAAGAGTAGACTTGAATCCACGGGGATGTGGCTCTAGAGAATCTTACAGAGAATAACATGCAACGATGTATTTCTGGGCGAAGTTCTAGAGACAATGGCATCGAAAAGAAAACATGAATATATGACACGCACAAGACCGATTGAAGTTAATAGAGACAGAGAAAAGCAACGCATAGCTTACCTAGTGAGCTTGATTAAATGGATGGAGGAGCAACTTTGGCAGAGACGGCAAAAAGTGCAAAAGTTATAAGGAGCTATAAAGGACAGAAAATTGTGGAGAGCCATGATCACCAACGCCCTGAAGTGACACATCACATAGAAGACCAAGGGCCGAATACAAAGACCTGATGATGGAAACAGAAAATAAAATGGCACTTAAAAATTAAAATGTTGCAGTAGTTGGAGCTTTGGGTCTGATAAAGAAAGGAACTCAACAACAAATCAACAACATCCCTAGAACACCACATCTCGATAGTTCTACCAAGTACAGACCATAGTCTGTGAAGAGCATTATTTTTCTTTAATAACTGTCTTTTATTTAATTAAGTAGTAACAACAAAATATCATATCGCTTTCCCTAGGCCATTGATTGGCTGCTTGATAGGGCTTTTGCAGGTTATTTAAAGCCTGTAAGTAACTTTAGATTATAAGAATTATTTTTCAGACAAATATAGTTTAGTGATACAAGTTTTACTAATTAAACTATAGCAGGCGAGAGACAGAAGTGCTGAATGCATATCTTTCCCAAGGTTCATTAAGCATAAGTTGATAGAACAAACCAAACAGGAATTTGAAATCGGCTTTCGATTAACAATTCGGAATCATTATACATTACACCACTTGCACATCCAGGCTTACGGAACTTGGTATTCCCAAGCGGTTACCCATGTAGGTATGATCAGTCTCGACGTTGCTTAACATACGACCCGACATATGATTAACAAACAAAGGCAGGTGAAAAATATTTTTTAAATAATAATAATAGTAATAATAATGTCAAGACGATGATGATGATCATGATGATGAAACTGTCGACCATATTATCTTAGGATGTCTGGAACTGGTAAAAAATGAATACACCCAGAGTCATAACAAGGCATCGATATATATGCTCTGGAAGATATACAAGAAGCATAAAATCGAAACCATTGAGAGATGGTATGACCACCAACCAGATACAGTTACCCAAAGTAACTATCCTCTGGGACATGCCAATTCAAATTGACAGAGAAATAAGCCAACAGACCTGATATTATCATAAAAGACAAGAAATTCAGGAAGTGTATGCTTATTGACATAGCAGTACCATCTGAGAGAAATAACTCCATAAAGATTATCGAGAAATTGTCCAAATAAAAGGGACCTGGAGTTTGAGATTAAGAGAATGGGAAGAATGAAGACTGATACAGTACCAATAGTAATCGGAACTCTGGGTCTTATGAGAAAATGAATGGACAATTTTACTAACAGTATCCCAAGCAACATCAGCATACAAGTTGCCCAGACAGTTACCCTACTAGGAACGCTCTATATACTAAGAAAAGTGCGATCAGTTAAATGATAATTCTCCTACAGGGCCTAAGGAGCATGGTTTGGACCCGGCTCTACACGATACAAAGCAAGAAACACAACACATAAATAACAACAACAACAACAACAAAAATAATAATAATGGTCATTAACGCCTAGCAAAACTCGTCGGCCACTAACTGCAGTCTGACACATTTACAGGTGAACATATAAATATATATATATATATATATTTTTTTATAAATACGATGCTTAATATTATAAAATAGAATAA